CAAAGGCATTTTGATCATGCAAGTTATTACTTACAGCATCTTCCGTGTCCACTAAGGAGGTTGGATAGGAATTTTTGTATAGCAAGACCTGTGTCAGTTGGGTAGGAGAACTTCTCAGAGTATTAACACCAGAGTCATTCCTTTATTCACCTTGTCCCTTACTCCCCGTGGAATCACGGATGTCATCAGTAAAGAGCTGGAAGAGCGAGTATGAATCTCTACCTGATCCACAGGTTTGTACCAGAGGAAAGCTCACACATAAATAACTTACAAAAACCAAGCAAATGTCCCAAAGTGAAGCTTTCCCCGCACAATAATTTATTTGTTCATTGAGCAGTATTTCATATACATTCAGGTTTGTTCAACATGACCAGCGTGCCTGGTCAAACATGCTGCATATTAAACAATAGGCCTATAAAAACAGTATGTAGAAAATCCAATGACATTGAAATACCACGTGCCCRTTTCAAGAGACATCTTTAAAAAATAGTGGCAGCCCAAGTTGTACAGCGTGCAGGCAAAATGCTGCATCAGACCGAAGGAAAACGAAACATTTCTGCACCCAAAAAAATAGGGAAGCTTGAATACAGCTTGAATACAGTTCCAACAACCCCAAGTACAACTCAGCAACAGTCAGCAAAGAGAGTGTATCACAAAATAATGATAGCTGGGACTTCCCTTGCCAGCAGAATCACTTGTTTCAAGTAGAAAACTGCTTCAGTGCTGGCTCAGAAAACTGCTTTGCAAGGAACAAGTTTTCACAGTAGAAATGCTGAGCAATAGAGAAGATCACGGCGTTTAGCCGGAGACAAGGACGAGCAGGGAATCTTTTCTGCTTTTTAGTATAAACAGTGGGTCATTTTGACTCTGTTGAAAAGGATTAGCCATGATGCTAAGGAAAATGATAATTTTCAACCAACTTGGATTTGAACTGAGGATAGCAGACATAATAATCCACGCCAGCTAGGCTTTTTTGAGCTAAAAGGTGTGTTATTCCTTATGTGAAAGCTGATTCCAATACATAGCTCCTGTTTAGCAATTCATTTCCCCATAGCTCATACTTGCTATTTTTCTCCTTCTCTGCCAGTATGAGAAATATGCAGAGCAGTCTGCATAGAAGGCATGACATTTTACTTGAATCTTGGATATGAATGTTTCATCTCCCCTTGGGACAAAAGTGATTCAATTACATTTATCAAGCTGAGTGGAAGATCTTTATTTTAATGCACTACAAGCTCTCTTGAAGTGCATTGGCTTTTTCTAATGCTGTCATACATTAAACGATCTTCTTGCAAATATCTTCAGAAAGTAGCTATGTTTATGAATTAGCTCCCTTTTATAAATGGAGAAGGTTTAGTTTACTTATGTGCAGTGATAGGAAAAATTGGGATTAGTCTGGCCAGGCAATCTCCCCTTTTTCCCTGAGTTCACCATGTATAATTAGGCAAGAAACAGAATAAAGATCYGTATTTGTTGGCTCCTGGGTTTGTTGGAAAAATAAGCTAAAGGCCAGTGCTCTACTGACATGTAAAGATTCTGTGCAGAAGGATGACTGAGTGCAGTGATGACTAATGCAGAAAACAGAAACCTGCCCCATTGCAATCACGTTCTTGCAAGATGTTAAGATACCTTTTTCTGCGTGGCAGATAGGGAAACCGCATTGTGGAGGTCCCCAAAACGTTGAGTTTAGTGCAGCTTCTTGCAGGCTGCCTGGCTTTTGCATTTGGCCCTGTTGACAGACGTAATCATTCCGAAAGAACTAGCATCAACAGCCTGCCCTACGGAGCTGATTCTCAACATTGTGTCCTCTTTATCCAAAAATTATTAAAAAAGAAAAGAGGATAAAGGTATCTCTGAGTAGGACACAGAGTTAATTATCAAGCAGGGATTCTACAGGGGACGACTCAAATCCTCCTCGAACAAAGCACTGAATTGCGTCACTGCCCCAGTAAAAAATATTTCCAGTTTAATCTTTTCTCTYTTCATTGCTATGTGTTTTCAAGACGTTAAAGCCTTGCAAAGGAAAATACTATTTTACACAATGTATAATTTATCCTTGGACTTAGCGGAGTAAGATTAAAAAAAAAAGAGCATTTATAGAGCATTTATTTGGGCAATGGTTATTTGAGATTTGAATAAGGTTGCAAAATATGTAAAGCCTTGTAATTTTAAGGCACTAAACCTGAATGAATGTTAAATCTCAGGGTAGCCCTGGAAACTGGAATACTGACCTATGCCTGTTGCTGGAAGAAAAAGGGTTGGTGATTTACTAAAGACAGTCAGTGTAAATCAGAAGCCAGCTAACTATTAAATGCTGGCAGCTCTCAGCACTTCACATAGAGATGATCTGCTCCACTCAGGCTGCAGGTCTCAGCTGCTGCTCCCGATGGAGTAAACACTGGGATGCCCACACTCGCCTCGAGGTTTCCTTCAGGACACATCAATCAGAAGATCAGTGCGCTCCAGCAGATGTGACTTGCAGGAAAAATCAACAYGCTCCCCTGTGTCCTTCCTTCCTGCCCGACCACCTGCTTGGTTTGTAAGCTCCCCGGCCCTCTTGTTCTCTTGCAGGGCTCGCACAACAGAGCCCTAATCCTGGAGGGATTTTACCTGCAGTGACAGCTGGCAGGTCCGTGGGGAATCCTGCTAGTGCTTTTGACAGGGACCTGCAGCCTCTGCGCCTGCAGCGCTTTTACTGGTGCCAAGTTCACTTCAAATAAAAAAGGGGTCTGCTTAAATCCACACTCTACTTCTTGAAACTTATCAGTCCAAATGTCCATAAAGATGACAAGTGCCTATAATCCTATTTGCGACAAGGGAGCAGGGCAATTTACATGCAGAGACTTGCTGCTGAGCCTAACAAATTGCACACAGAGTGGTGGCTAAGATCAGGCTTGCTTGACACTGAAGTCTGGGTCTGTCTAGAAGCACCAGATGGGGAAGGACCTTCCGTGTGATGTAAAACAAAACCAAAAAGACTGAAGACGAGGCAAGGATTAAATTAGCCTGCCCTCTGACTCTCCCAGGCAGGAGCACCGTGCTTCAAAGGTGACTATTCCCTACCTAGACATTGCTACCAGCACACTGGTGCTTCGCTCTAACCACCCAARTTTTGATTACATTGCTATTTCAGAAATGCTCTACTTTTACACTTTTTTTCAGACAAGGCAAATATTTGTCTGTCTTTGAAAATATAGCTGAAAATATTTGTTTGCAAGAGAAAAGAAACCTTATTCATGCATAAATTAAAATTCTCTTGACTCTGGGGATGAACTACTGAGAGACAAATGAACAATGATAGCTCATCAATAATATCAAGGTGCAATTTCAAGATCCTATCCTATAAAAGCTGCCCTTCTCCTAAGCCCTTTCCCTTTTCAAGTCAGTAGATATTCAGCACAGCACAGAAGCTGACACTGAGACATGAGGAGAGGCTTAAGTGTTGTTTTAAGGAAGCTGCATTCTTACTTGGCAGGCTCAGGAGGAGTTATGTCAAGACTGCTTATTTCTAATATTATACAGAGAATTCCTCCCACTATTTACTCCAGATTCGGAACWGCTGATTTATTTATTTATTTGGATTAGTTATATTAAAAATATAGCATGTTTCCAAATGCTTTTCTCCCAAATTCCCAAAGGATGGTCCTTTCTCATGACGATGTACATCTCTAAGTCATTTAATGGGCTTAATTCCCACTGCTCTGAATCAGGACAAAGTTCCAGACTCTGAGGGTATCTAGGAACTCATAGAAGGCTTGATATCTTGCACTGAAGTACTCAGAAGAGGAAAGTGGCCAGAAAACAGTGCAAAAGGGATGCAGCTTTTCCAGTGACCATGGCACTGCAGGACCTTAGGATGTGACTACTACAAGCACCTGAGCAAAGAGATGTTGAGTTTTTAAATGGTTTTCTGCTGACCTCAGAACAAGAAGGAAAGTAAATGATTGGGTACCTCTTTGAGCTTCACTTAATAATGTCCCACCTTGAGTTGTATTAGATCTGCATTAAAGCACAGAGAGCTTCCAAACAAACATAAGACGGCTGCAAATGTTCATTTGGTTTCGTGTGAGGGTTGGGAGGTTGTTTGGTCTCTGAAACTAGGTGGAGTGCAGTCATCTGGATCAAGTTTCTCTTGGCAATGGAATTCCCTGAAATCCAAAGCACAAAAGGAAACCCAGAGAGCGATTCCAAGCAGGGTAAGAGCCAAGGACATGTTTTTACCAAGCCCTGGGAACTGAACCGACTGCCTCTCCAGACAGGCTGAGGGCCAGCACACTTGTGGCCATTAYGGAAGACCAAATCCCCACGTGGTGCAGCTCAGGAGTGAGGACAGTGGGGCTGCCCAGCTGAAGATGTGATCCAAACAGCTGCCTGTCCTCTTCGGCAAGGAGTGCAGGACCTCTCCAAGCTGGGACCTGGAGATGAACAAGAGAGGCAAGACATAGTAGAAAAACATACTTGTCCAAGTACCCTATTGAACAGTAAGCCGAGTTCTGTAAACACTGGCTCTAGACCTGACCCTCCCCACCTCAGCTCTTTTGGCTCTTGAATCAACTTGTTCAGCTTAATAACAACAACAGCAAAAAAACCCCAAAATTATATCACTAAATCGGCTGTGAAATTGTTGCTGTCTGAAAGCATCTGAGCTGAAATCTCTATAGGAGTTTCGTGGTTTGCTCTCTTTCTCCCCATTACGCTTAAATAACAGAGCAAATGGAATTTCTGAAACTGGAAAACAGGGTAACAAATAAGGCCTTTAAATGCCAGGCAGCTCCCTAGCAGGGGACGGACTCTTGGACGAGCACTGGGTGCCCGCCACCCACTGAAGTCACGCACAGGTTTCAAGGGGCTACCAGCACTCAAAGACATCACACCCCAAAAGAGCTGGCCCTGCTTGTTCCACCTGGTACAGCATCTACCACTATTTCCCAACAAAAAAGAGCAACATCCCACTAGCAGATCCACCAGTTTGCCAGCCGGGTACTAGTCCCACGAGTCTTTTAGACGTCCTGCCCATTTTCACTGAGGGACGTGGCATGGATTTTAATGGTTGGCACTTTACGGTTTTCCCGGAGAACTTTTCCTGACGTGCCTGCACAGCAGCATTCCTGTAGGAAACCTTGACTTTTCACTTTGGCAGCAGCACAGCTAGGCTTGTCAGCATTTTTTGTAGGCATGCCTTGCACGGGAGAGAATAGTTTCCATTCACAGACCCCTTCGGACTTGGAAATCCTATAGAAGGTTTCGCCCGAGCCAACAGGGATACGGACCACACCTTTGTGCCTCTCCATGCCTTGGCTAGCAGGATGGTTGAGGTTGAAATTTGGGGATGGCTTCTTTGCTGTTTGCTTTCTTGGAAGACACTGGGCTCTCAGGACATTTTGGAAGGCTTTCTTGAACTCTTTACTTGAGCAGGGGTAGATTATGGGGTTGATGCAGCTGTTTAAGTAGCCAAGCCAAAATGTTATTTTAAAAAGTGTGTCCGGGGGTTTGATTGCAGGAAAGAACGAACCTAAAATGGAAAATACAGACAGCATTAAGGCAAAGGCAATGAGAAATTGCGGGTAACCAAAGAAACTTAAACACTGGGAAAAATAAATAAGATTCAGTTCTGTCCTGGAAAACTGATGACTCAAAGCCGAATTCTTTCAGGAACGAGTCTTTCTGAAGGTACGGTGTTGTACAGTTACAGGAGATCAGAGACCAAATCAAGACTTCTATTTTCCTATACGAACATTGCATCTTCCCAATTACAGCCAGAAAGCCAAGCAAGAGGCAAGATATCAAGTGGAAAGAGAAAATTCTTCCCTCCATGACTTCTAACGTAAGATTAGTTAGCCAAACAATCCTATCAAGGAATTCATCAAAAGGGATTTGAAATGACAAAAATCTGGCATTTCAGAGACCAGAGTAAGTGAAAAGCAGAATAACGGGGTTGACTGCATTCCTACTGAGAGTCTTACAAAATGATGAAGTTCTGGGTGCTCACTTTCCCTTGAAACCATGTGAAAAAAATTCATTTCCCACATTTTCCTACCTCTTTCCTGAATTTCATACAAAATTCAGGTACATTAAAGGAAGAGTGCCTTATTTCAATGGATATAATCAGGTCTCATGGGCAGTCACTCATGATAATATTTGCAAGGTTATCTCTCATGGACTTAATTTAAAGAGGAAGAGCTGGATGACTGTTTAATAAGGAAATACTGTAGGTCGTCTTATTCTATAAATTGCAGGTTAATGTACAATAAAATTAAATTGATTGCCACAGTTTCTTCAGCAAATCAATAACAGAAGCAAAAATATTTGTCCTTGCTGTCTCGGTACAACAACAACCAGCTGCAAGTGACCATGTAATTAGCATTACTGATTTCCTTTTCTTTTAAAGTAGATAACATATGTTTGAGTAGACAATATATGTTTGAGAACACAGAATTCAATTATATATGATATCTGTTGACTTAAAATCTTGTCCTCTGATTAACGTTCAGTGGAAAAGGTAACTTCTTAATGAATGTGCATTAAAAATAATACACGAACAACTTCCAAAACTTTTGTCCGGGTCTGTTCCAATAGCAGGAGATCAATTCTGAGAATTGCCAAAATGTCAAATTTTGACAGATGTTCCTCTGCAGAAATTCATCTTGTATTTCTCTTGTCCAAAAGCAGGATTCTCTGAGTGTACAGTGCTCTTGGGAAAGATGGAGTGAGGCCATTTGGAGAAACCTTCCCAGACAATCTGCTCCTGCTCTTCTCCGCTGCAACCAYTGGGAACATTTTTTCATAATACCAATAGTTTAACTACAATTTGGGTCCATTACTGCTCTCATAAGCAAGTGCTTAACTTTCAAATGATTTGAAGAAGATAGTAACCAATGCCTACAAGATTTACTAATTATGAAGTTGCATAGACTTCCTGTATGTTGTCAAGGGAAAAGCTATTGATTTCTTTTCCTTTGCTTCACTTTCATTGCTTGGATCCATAAAAAGAAAGTGGTTCCAAAAGTTAGTAATTACTTTGGATAGCTTATCACGGGCATAGCAAGCACTATAATCTCCCAGAGCACATAATTGGCTTCCTTTAGGCTTTATAGTCAAGTTTATAATGAATAGAACTTCTAGAACTGAGAGATATTTGTCTTCCTGCCTCCTCCAAAAATTGTTAAGTATGTCCTTATTGGATGAAATGCTGTGGAAGATTAAGGCATCAGTAGATTTGTCATCCTTTGCTGGTTATTTATGTCTACAAGCATATCCTAAGAATTGAAGTGCTAGATCTCTCCGGATTTGGGAAAGCGGATAGATTTAACTCTGAGAGCTGCTGAATTTGGGGTAATTTTTCCTTGCAATCTTCGTCAAAGGAATTGCTGTTTGCATTCAAGTAGCTGAGCCTCTAGTTCCGATTCCAATTCCAGTTTGGGCATCGAACCCAAATCCCAGTGCCTCCGTGACTGCTCCTCTGTTGCCAAGACTATTTCACTATTTCACTATTAGTTTAACACTGACCAGTTTTTAACAGAAAAAAAGGTCACGCAGAAGAAAGAAAATATTATTTTGTAATAAAGCTTTAGTTAGGAGCTCTGACCACTATCTAGATTTTTTTCTCAGCACTTTAATACTGCTTTCCTTCAAGGAAAAGCAAGTGCAAGTCGCTGGTGGATGAAGAAACAAAAAAAAAGCTTCTAGATAACCAAATCCTACCGAACTGCTTCTCTATTTCCACATCCAGGGGCAGCATATCCACTGTTTTCCCGATTCATGTAAAGGCGTATAGGTGAAACAAATGCAGGTTTAGGTGCTAAGGTCTGGGAGCCTGAGTGTAATGAGAAATAAACAATGACAATTCCTGTTCGCTGCAACTTCTGGCTCACCTTAAATGGAATGCTAATACCCTGCCAAAGCCCATTAAAAATAGAAAAGAGTCAATGTCAGAAGCTTTTTCTTGCTTTTTTGGGGGAGTTGGTGGGGGATGAAGGGGAATCTCTATGCTAATTTATCAATATCACCTTCTTTGGTTAATCTGAGATTTCTTGGAGGTGTCTTGGAGCAACACACTGCTAGTGCAAAGGATATGGTCCTGCTGGTCAGAGGGGTTTCATACATTCATACCAGCTAAGGCTCCATCTATTGGTTTAATTAAAACTGTATGCTGAAAATAAAATAAAATAAAATAAAATAAAATAAAATAAAATAAAATAAAATAAAATAAAATAAAATAAAATAAAACAAAACGAAACAAAACAAAACAAACTAAACTAAACTATTAGTTTGTTTCCACCAAATACTTCATTACTCACCCTTGAGGATGTCAGGACTGTGTTCTCCCCACTCATAGCTAGATTTAATGTTAGCCAACCTCAAGTTTCTTYGGAGCTAAGAGTTGTTTTCTATACAGCTCCTGCTGAGTAAGTGCCAATTCAGTCACAAAGATATAATTTGGGTTTCTCGCTAGTTAGAAGCTACAGAGTTGCTTGATTACAGGTTGTTTAAAAGTCAGTACTGCATCATGCATGCACTCACTGACAGACAGCACGCAGGCATTTAGAAGACCCCGAAACTAAAGCACCTCCTGATCGTTATTTAACTCCCTCCTGTCTCTGCTAGCAGAAGAGGAACAGGATCCTGCACATTCCTATGTCGTATGGATCATGTCAAAGCGTAGTAGTTACTCCTGAAACACAAAGCATAAAGGAGCACTGGTCACCCCACGTGGGTTGACTCTGTCCYGTGGCAATGCAGGTCTGCTCAGATGCAGCCCACACTATGGATGTGCCTAAATATGTTTCATCTTGTATTCCCAAGCTCAGTGTTAGCCCTGGACTTTATTCCATGGGTCTGCACTCTACGTGGCATCTCAGGTCATGCAGACAACCCCCCATGGAAACTGCATGCAGATATAGATATAAAGACACGTATTGCTGCAGACATACAACAGCTGTGCTCTGTCCATGCATGTTCCTCCAGAAAGTCTCACCCTGCTGCTTCCCTATRGAAAATACCTTCTGTGGGAACACATATGAAACCAAAGAAGTCCTGAATATTAGGAAATGCTTCTGCGTTTTGCATGATAGGTGCCAGGCAGCACAGACACTTTGGTAAGAACAGACATGGGGAATGCTGAAAAGCTGCACTTGTGGAGCTGGCACCTTCATAACACGCCTGCCCCAGAGCCTAGAACACTGTGGCATTTTCAGGGGAAAACAAGAATGACCTTTCTTGAAATATCCCTGAACTTCAGTGAACAGCCACAGAAAGGGGAGAGAGAGGCTGTTTCCTTGCTCAAGGGCCTAGACTCCAGTGCTTGCAGACTGTGGATGCTTCTCCAAACAAGGGGATATGTGGAAATGAGAGACACCAGCACTGGGTCAACCTTTGGATGATGTTCCAGTTATTTGGTTTCTTTCAGACCTGATTTCTRCTGTTTCATATTGTACCCACTTACGGTGGATGATATTTCTGACAGAGAGCAAACATTCCAGCAGCTATTGCTAGGCTCAGGGTGCAGCTGCAGATTTATAAAGCTCATAAAAACACTGGAAGGAAAYGGAGGTATCATTACCCAGCAAAATCGTGACCAAGTTCATTGATCAACAAGTCATTTGTATTATAAAGGAAAAACCAGTTCCCATATTGCTGCTGCAGTGGAACAATTCCGGATCTTGCTGCTAGCAACAACCAAATCTTAGCTTTCATTTGAAAAAACAAAATCTGGGTTTTGGAATCCTTGGTGCTTATGAATCCTTGGTCCCTTATGAATAAAAATTGAAGACATATACTGCAATTCATCTGGTGGGGTGGGGGATTCACTCATTACCTTTCAATCACTAACAAATTCTAAATGGCACCATGATTTTAAGAATGAGTGGAAAACGATATTCGTCTTGGTTTGGTTATTCCAGGGATCTAAAAGTGGTGCCTGCACGAGACACCGCACAAGGGTGTCGGTGCCTGTCCCTGCTCCCTGCCTTGTGACATCTCAGGGCATCAACAGCAGAAATAGAGAAATGCAGTTTACTTCTCTGCTCTTACCTCTAGTGATAATAGAGCGTTATTGTCCTTGTAGCCAGGGAAAGCACAATCACAGAAAATTATTACAAACCAGGGGCAGACTGTCACACAGATGGGATTAGAGGATTCCCTTGCCAGTCTTTGTGCCAGTTCACAAGCCTAATTGACTTCTCTACTACAAATATAAATACCCCCCAGAGGATCCTCTTCTGTGCTCTCTTCATTATGAGAATGACTGACAAATGCTAAAAGCCTCCCTTGCTTTTGCCTCGTTTAATGTTCTGAATCCCAGGTTGTCCCTCAGCCTCCAGGCTCCGATCTTTCCTTTCTCCCATTTTTTCTGTGTCTGGAGGCAGCAGTTACAACCAGATAAATCTAAGCCAGTTTTCCACAGGAAGCAGTTTGTTTGTTCCTGAGGATTTGGTAAGGCAAGCCGTCAATCCAAAGCCTCCTCAAATAAGAGAAATGTAAAACCTGCATATCCAGGTGGGATATATTTGCTGGAATCTTCCAAGTCCAAGCCAAAATAACCAGTGGAGGCAAGCTGAGCTCGAAGTTTTCATAGGAAAGCCTGCAGATAAGGAGCCTGACACCTTCCAAGGGAAATGAGCTGCTCTGACTCCCTTTCATGCAGCAGGATTCTCCAGCTCGCTCCTCAAAGCCAAGTGAAAGGAAGATATATGGGGCTGAAAACCTTAGACAGCTATTGTGCGGATAAAGCATTTGAATAAATCCTCTGCTTGGAATGAAAATTAATCTATCGGAGAAGGTAAGGAAAGCATTACTACCCACACAGATGTCACTCCAGCTCTCCAACCTGGCAACTCTACAACCTGTTTTCGGCTAAGATGCTGCAGGGCTACCCAAGCTGTGTCTTAGCTCTGTGCAGCATCTGCTGAGATGGATGTACTGCCTTTATCCCCACCTTGATGCCCTCCTGTGAGTCCTGCTCCCGCCTCGAAAGAGTTCATGCCCATTTCTTATGCCTTGTAACAAGCCTGTTTTCTGCTTGACCTCAGTTCTTAGTATTATTGATGTTAACAGATTTCGGGATCTTGAAGATGATGTAAAACACAGTCAAATACGCCTTTACTCTGGGAACATCTGCTGCACAGCATATTAAGCAACTGCCAGTCATCCAAAGAGGTCTGTGTACTAAAACCTCAGAATATTTGCCTTGTGGTGAACCCTTCATTCAGGCTCTGATTCTGAAAGGCTCTGCCTCCTGCAGTCACTAAAATGACCTGCAGCAGCTGATGGAACCATCTACAGTTTTGTCCAATCGCAAAAACCCTGCAGAACTGGCATTCTGCGTGACAAAATTCTTGTTTCCCAGCTGCTTGTCTGGTGAGCTCCAAAACCCATTAATTTCAGCAAAAGAGTGGAAAGGGCTCTGCCCAGCTGAAAAAAAGCAGACTTCACCCACTATCCTGGCTTATCCTTCCAGTTTAATGGTTTCTGTCTTTAAAGAAAATGAATAAATAGGTTTCGAAAAGACTAATATGCTTTAAAAACACCACAACTCCATAAAAATAGGGAACCTAACCTCAAAAAAGTTGCTTATAGGGGATCAAAGAAAGATAAGAAGTGAGCCTTGAATCCAGAGGAGCTCTTAGATCCAAAGCAAATTAATTAACAACAACAGCTCTGCCCAGGCAACAACATTTGCAGATGAAAAGTGCTTAATGTGTTCTTGCAAAACCCTTTTTGGGTATGTTTTAGATATCTTGGCAAGCAGCATACCAGCATGCTGACATCCTGGACAGCTCGAGCCAGGCCTGTCAGGGTTCCTCTTTGCAAAACAGCTACATCTTTTACTCCAGCGCTTCCTAATGTTAGTGGCAGGGTTTCACAAAACAATAATAATTTTTAAACCTTTTTTTTACGTCTAACATGGTAAATTGAAAAGGAACAGACTTTTATAAAGGGTTTTAATAAAAACCTCCATCTTTCTTTTAGTATTTAGGTAACACTTTTTTTTCCTTGATGCTACAGACCGSTCCATTACTAACTAAAACTYTTATATAATTTTACTYAACTTCCCTCTATAGCACAAGAATTTTTTGGTAAGGAAAGCTAYTGAAATTGGGCAATCAAAGAGTTAAGCTATTAAATTTCAGCTATCAAAATTAAAATTTAAATTTTAAGCTATTAGACAACTGTCGTAATGCAAACTTCAGTGGGATATGCCAGTTACCACACAGTAAAATATAGGTGTAAAAATCAGTATTGTGCTTTTAAATTCTGGAATCACATCTAAAATAAATCAACAAGGCTTTGTATGTGAATGTTAGCAAAAACAAAACCCCAGACATTCCTTCCCTTTGGGATTAAAACTGATGAATAAATATTCTTATTCATACTGAATATTTATGGATATGTACAATGGATGAAACRGCAGCCAGTGAGTTCAAGGGCATTTCACATAAGATATGAATGTGGAAGTACAACATTAGTTTGAAGGATCCTCATGGCCATCTACTCATTGGTCATATGATAAATTAAAAATACAACGTGCATCCCATTTGTTGGCAAGAGAGGGATATTCCAGCACAGTATTTCCCAGTGAAACTTCCTTGTATGAAGCAGATTTTCCCTCATAGAGGGAGTTATTGGGTGCTGAGCACTTCGGGAAATCTGGCCTGAGTTTGTAAACATCTACTTTGACCTTGAACATATTTATATCTTGCCTTTTACACATTTATATCAGCTGAGGAACTGGCCACAAACTTGGATACAAACACACACTGCTAAAGATACCATTCTTATAGTAGAGTTGGTCAGAGATAACAGCCGTAGTTTTGAAAGACTACTTTCTGTATGGAAAAGGGATACGAAATCTTCTGAAAATGAAAAAGATTATGCTTTAATCATCAAAAGGATTATGATCAGGGATGTTGTATTTGATTTGAGTCTTTTTTTCAGGCTTTTGTACTGGCGAATGTTTTGATTTTGACAGTTTTCCAATAGGAAAATTGTTCTCACAGAGCTTTTTGATCAGCTCTTTTGCACCCAAGCAAAAACATGGTCCTCCCTCCAGAGAAGGTACTGTGAAAGGCAGGGGGTTTTGTTCTACTTACCAATGGGCATTACCACAAAAAACGGAAGCCAGCATAACACAAAGCATCCTACAACTATTCCCAGGGTCTTGGCAGCTTTCTTCTCCCTGGAGAATTTGAGAAGACGTACTGAGAAGTGGTGTTTGCTCTTGGAGTTCGATGCAGATCTGCTTGCTTCAGGAGCATTTTTACGATGGATCCGTAGAGTCACTTCTTCGGAATGGGATTTCTCAGTCTTGAGGCCAGAAGTCAGGCCTTTGCTTTCCCTTCTGGCCACGACATACACCCGGCAGTACATCACCAAGATAATGGTCAACGGGAGGTAGAAGGAGCCTAGAGCAGAGAACAGCACGTAGCCGGGCTCTTCAGTGATTTGACAGAYGGTCTCATCTTCTGGTGCTGGTTCCTTCCAGCCAAAAAGAGGTCCAATCGATATCACCAGAGACAATGCCCAAACACAAAACAAAGCCAGGAGTCCTCTTTTCTTTGTCACTATAGTGGGGTATCTCAGCGGGTAGCTCACGCCGATGTACCTGTCTATCGAGATGATACAGAGGCCCATAATGGAAGCAGTGCAGCAAAGGACATCAACAGCTGCCCAGATGTTGCAGAAGATCCTTCCAAAGGCCCAGTAGCCCAAAATCTCCATGGTAGCTGAGAAAGGCAGGACAGTGGAAGTCAAGAGGAGGTCAGCGATAGCTAGGTTGATTATATAGTAGTGGGTAACACTCTGAAGATGTCTATGGCAGGCTACAGAGAGGATAACCAGAATGTTACCCAATACTCCAAAAATAATCAGTCCCCCTAGAATAATGCCTAGCAAAATGGCCCTTGAAATGTTCACAGGCTCCACRGGGTGGGTGCAGTTGGAGCAATCATCAGATGCATTTCCAGGGAGGAAAACCATGGTGTGTGGCTRATTATATTCATGCAAGGCTGGTGTATTTCACTCCCTTTTCTGGCAAARGGAGTGGTGAGGTTAGTTTTCAGAAGATCCTACAGGCACCATTTGCCTGGATGAGCTGTGAATTTATTTTTTTTTTTCAGGAATATCTTAGAAGTGCAGCACCAGGAATGAGAAGGATCCAGAAATAATAGGAAATCTGCATTTCTCCCTAAGTTTTATCATTCTTCTAGTTAATAGCACAGCTGCCATTTCACAGTCAAATACAACTCCTTTTGTATTGTCTTAGAAAGTAAGGCTACATAAAAATGAGGACATTTCTTATGCTTTCCAGGATAACTTGACCAGGATTATTGTAATTACAATAAAGTCATTTAGGTTAAAGTCATTTCTGCCTTTTGGGGAAGATTCTACATAACATAAACATTTCAAAACATCTTGAATTTAGGTTTCTCCTGGAGGAAGTCAACGCTGTGTTTCCTGTCTTGTGTTAGTTCTGAATCTGCCTTGCAACAGGCTTCGCAGAAACCTGGCAAGGYGGGTGGCTGCTGATGCTGTGTCTGCTCTGCAATGTCATCTGAGATACTTGCTTGAGATCTGCCACTGCAGCTCTTTGGGACGGGAAATGCCGCTCAAAACCTCTGCACGCCAGGGAGCAATTCTGGATCGGTGCTGAAGTCCATTCTCATCAGCTTCTGGTTAGCTCCGGAGGGGAAAGTGAAGCTGGTCATGTCATAGACACATGCTGTTGTACTCTCTTCAGATCAGCATCCCCTATAGGAGACAAAAAAAGACACAAATAGTCTGATTTCCAGAAGCTATGCTCACTTGCTGTTACGGTTCCCATATAAGAATAGAGTGTGAAGCTATTTTAGGGAGCCTTCCCCAGGCTGTCTCCAGCCAGGGGAACCAACATTTTTCAACCCAGCATCGTTTAGCAACAACTACGAGAGCAATGTGAATTTTGTTGCCTGGGCTATCTCCCCATGTTTTCAGCTATCTGATTTCCTTTAGGGACAGCAATCACTCCTAATTATCAGTTCACCTGTGGAGACCAAATCTGGAAAAGAGAATCCTGCGGGACACAAGTTAGGACTACAGAACGTTGAAACAGACTCAAGTTGGAATTTAGTCTAAGATTTCTTTATAAAGCTGCTCTGTGACATATTGCACTTCTCATTAGTCCAGCTAAACAACACATTTTAGAAATTTATAGGGAAAAACAATTCCTGCCAAGCAGATGTGGCAAAGAACAAGCTTCCTGCTAAAAGTGACACAACATTTTGGAGTATCTGGAAGCTGAGCTCAATCTCAGCTGACTAAATATGGAGAAAAGGTACACGCGCTGAAAAAGTGAGGCAAAGCCTGGGAATWAACACCAAGAGGGGACAAGGAAAAGCTACAAGTGTCCTCTGGAAGCTTCTCAACACAGATACGGCTGTAGCTTCCTAGCCAGGACACTGAACAGACGTCTGAAAAACCAACACTAACGCTAACACTAATCCCGTCACATCTGAGAAAAGGTAAGGCTCTAAATACCTATGGACAGGACTGTAATATTAAGTCTTTCAGAGGCGTTTAACTTGCACTTCATAGAGATACCAAACTGCAACAACAGGGACACGTTGAATCTCAAAGCTGTGTATTTTTGTGCAAGTGAAAATGTATAGAACAGTTATTTCTAAACCACTGAGATTCCTAGTTCATAAGTAGGGAGAGTGGGAGAGGGGGGGATGAAAAGGTATTTAACGGCAGCAATTTGCCTTCGTTGCAGTGATGCAAAATCAAATTTTTATGTTTCCTTTTCAAAAGTGGGAACAAGTTGATGAATAACATCAAGAAAGGATAGTTTTTAATAGGCACAGTAACGGAATGAATAGCGACTGTAGTATCAAGCATCTCTAGCCATTATAATTATAATCATTAAAGGGGTGATGGTGGACCTGAAAATTAAGAAGCAATCAAACTTGATTTCAAAGCACATAAACCAAAAGGTCCTAGGAAGTGGAGGAGGTGCAGAAAAAAAATACTGGTAGATATTTATACTCACATGCAAGAAGATAACACTCAATCTGTGAAGAGACATGGCTCAGGAGAAGACTACATCCCAGACCCTTCTTCTTGCCCCAATTCACACTCACCTGCGTAGTCTCTAGAAGGCAGCACAGCTCCTCTGAGCATTTGGAAAGGAGATTCACAGCACAGCACAGGCTTCTCTTCATGCAGACATGGGACTCTACTGAAAATCCTTTTTTTTTTTTTCCTTTGATGACTCAAAATTGTACCGGGTCCCTGTACCCCCGTGGCTGTGGGGGGCTTGGGGGCAGCATCCCCCCAAGCACCCTGCCCAGCTGCAGTGCTCAGCTCCCCTCTGCCCAGGAGCAGCAGTAACTTGGCTGCTCTGCTGATGCAGCAGGCAGTATCCTTGCCATTACCGTAATTCCCTGCCATTCCCGTATTGCTCAGAAAGCGAGAGCACTTATTGGGTGCYAAGTGGTGCCTTAAGTATTTTTTTCCAAGCAAACGTGTATTTGCTGCAGAGATCAAAAACCGAAAGCTACCTAGCAAGCTAATGTCAGCAAGCAGCCTGCAAACAAATGCACAGCCTCATCTGCAAATTACATGCAGGAAGGGAGATATTCCCTTGATCTCGTCACTTAGTTGGATGCAAGGAGAGTTGTCTGCCAGGCAAACTGCGTGTGAAGAAAATCAAAAGGAGCAACAGCCTCATTGATCATTAATATGCGTGCAGTAACGAAGCACAGGTGAACCTGAGCCTTGAGATGAGGACTCTGCTTGCTTGGGCAGAAGCTTTCTGAACAGTGGGTTCTGCCTGTTGCCTCCCCTTCCCTTGGAAATGAGTGAAAGCCACTGTAGTAATTTCTAAGAGGAAATTTCAGCTGGATGTTGTGAGAAGCATGAAGCCTTTAAGTAGAATGGGCTGTTAAGAGATTTTTTTTAAGAGTTTTTTTTTCCTCTTTCATCCTGTTTTTGAGGGCTCAGAACCTTTGAGCTAACACTGAGGCTCTGAGCCTCCTGACCAGACTGAAGTGTTGTTCTGCACCATGCTCCTTAAGACAAGCTTGCATTTCACCTCCTGCCACCTCCAGGCAGCATTTCTTTCTCTAGCAATACTAGAGAAAATGGTTTAGGAAAAGAACTGGAGAAGATGTATAGTGCTAGTGATTTATCAGTCTTTCCATAGAACTGTTTTCTCATTATTTACCCGTGACAACTCTTGTCTGAGAACCCCTGAAATGGAACGAGCCCAGATCGATGACATCAAAAGTCAGCAGCTTCAAAAGAAATGTGGCAACAGTAAGTGCTCTTGGCGTGGTGGTGCAGGCAGTGGCTTTCCGATGGCAACACACACATGAAATGGGAAGAGACGTGGTCCAAAGGCTCATCAGTCAATAGCTGCAATTGCAGCCACTTGTCTGCTGAGGTTACTGGGCTCTTCTTCTTGCAGGTAGACGCTGCCAAGCCACAATCAATCCATGCTGCATCCAATGAATTTTGCAGGCTCCGGGGAGGCACCTGAAGGTGACTAGACTGTATCACTATTTCTTGCCTAACGTACCCAAAGRAAAGCAGAATCCTGTCCTGTTGCTGCAAGCCCAAGACACTCCATGTCCTTCGTGCTTTGCCACTAAGAGGGTTCAGGATGTTCCTAATCTGCCTGCGGCAAGGGGCAGTAATATAAAAGTTCTTGCACTTCTGTTCTCATCACAGCTCTCTGTGCTTGGCCTCCAAGTTGCTCCTATGCCTCCCTCTTAACCTATCTCATCTCCAGGTGTACAGCTTGGGGCCAGATTTGCATGCAAATCTTCCAGAGATAGACTCCAAGGACAACTAAAATGTCCCTTGAAGTCCCTARCATGCTAACATATTTTGCTTTGCAAATGTAATTACCATTCTTGCCTGTTGCTTTTTCAAGCAGTTTTAAGTTTTTCTATGTTAGGCAGTTGGAAGGGTTTGTTTTGGCATTTGGGCTTTTGTTGCTTCTTTGTTTTTCATGAGATGCTAATTCGTAGTAATTGTGTTATGCAGTCTTAAGAGTCTAGCTTGGAGGAAGGGAATTATTGGTGTATATATTTTAGTAATAGCAATTAGACAGAAAAAATTAAGAGGAGAAAGAATATATTAGTAAAAAGCTCATGTACGTAGGAAGACAACTACAGCTTGTTGCTTTAAGGGAACGAAACTGTCCAGCAGTTCTCAAACACCTATGTCTCCTGCCATGCCATTGAAATATAAATGATACCCTTTCTACAGATATAATTTATATCAATTAATGGAATTAAAAGAAGAAATGGACATTAGTTTTTCTCGTAATTCTAGCAGCATGGAAGTTATTAACTCCTGTGCTCTGAGATCTTTAAAAGGACCTATCAGGAGAGAAGAAAATAAGATAATTCAAGTATTTGTTGCTGGTGTTATGGAAATATCTTAATTAGGGGCACAAGCTACTCCATTCTGTTCAGACTTGAGTTGAAAAGGACATTTTCAAACCTAAGCTGCTTAACATGGTGGATTCATCCATGGCTGTTGGTTTAGCTCTCCTAGGCTTTGAGGAGTGGAAGAGAGTCCTCCTTGCCTAACGCTGGGGCTACCCAGGAGAAAAAAAGAATGGAGTTCCTGCTATCTCGGGCTGCAGTGGTACTGAACCTCAGACTCAGTACTCCAAAATCCTGGGGCTCAAATTGTGCCTCGTTTTAGTATAGAGATTACGGTGGAAAAGCAAGAGCATTTCAATGAGAAAAGCTGTATATTAATTCACTGAAGCAATTAAAGTCGCAATAATATCTCACAGTATGCTTTTCTGCAGACGCATTTCCTTACAAAACCAATACTCAGACTGGATAATTAAACAAGGACCATGGTAATTTCTCACTGTTTACAATAACAAAGTATTGGTACCTTGGAATACATTAAAAATCATGTTAAATCCACCCCTCAGAGACCGGAAAATTATTCCTTCTGTCCATATCATCTGTTAACTGCTTCTGGTAGGGGTTCTTTTTCAACTATAGGAAAAATATACCTTCTTAAAAATTAGTTGTGAAAGCTGCATTTTCTTTTAAATAATGAGAGCTACACAACTGAATTTGCCATCTCTTTCAACTAGATGTGTGAGACTGTTAGTGAACTGAACTATAAATGTGTTGAAGATAGAGAAAATAGAAATTAATTCAAGTTCCTTTTTGCAATTTTTTTCTTCTGACTCTACAGCACACTGGATCACAAAACTCCCAAGTCATCAGATTGGTGAGAACTGCAGTAGCTCTCCCATAAATTGAACATCTGGAGGGATGTGTGATATTAAAAAAAAAAAACACTTTTTTTTTTGGTTTTGGGCAAAAAAAATACAGGATTTTTGCATAATACCAATTCCAAACCTGCATGAAGAGCATCTTAAGATGCTTTGCAGATAAACAGGAGAAAGGAAGCCTTGATGAAACAAATCAGTCAATGAAATGGGAAGACACACAGCATCCAAATGAAGATAAAGGCTCTTGCTAGGGTAGGTTAATACTTCAGTGGGTCAAGGTTGGAGAAACCTTGCTAACTTCATGGCCAATTGCTCAGATGATGGAAAGGTGCCCACTACCCATACTAACTACCAACATGTTCTTTTATCTACAAAACAGTTTGAATTGTTGAGGGCTTTGTGCTGAGACCTGGCAGTCACTACCAAAAAGCAGAAATAGCAGGAATTCTCTTTCAAAATCTTCACGTGGACCTGTAGGCATCATCTCCTTTCGGACTCTGTTCAAAAATACTCTTAGCAGAGCCAAGTGAGGGAGGTTAAGTCCACTCCATAATGACTGCTTAAGTTTCAAGTTTCATTATCATTCCACATTAGGACAGAAGCAAAATCTTTCTCTAGGACAAAATGACATCAGTCTGTCTACTTTTGGATTACTTTTCTACTTTCCAATCTACTTTTGGATTTTGGAGTGTTTTCATGCAGATCTCTCCTTACTTTCCTCCTCCAATGCTGGGCCATCTGAAAGAGCAAATGACTGAAAGGCTCTAGACAAAAGTACTCAGCAAAAACTATTAAAACTAGCACATTGCTGAAAGAAAATTCACTTTCAAAATTTCATTGAGTCGAAAATGTTGTGATATATATCTCCTGTTTATTATCACCGCACAGGAAACTGCTAGACTGCAGAAACTCATAAGCTAATTCCAAGCATATGGACTTGATTTTAGTTCCCCTTTTTTTGCCAGCTTCTCCATTTCCATGCCAGTAAGAAATCCAGCCACATTGGGAAGCAGCTGCCTTTTACTTCTATACAAGGCAAACCAAAGTGTTTCTGCTGTAGCAGTTACGTTTTGGCCTCTGCAAGCTAAAAGGATGACTTCAACTACCAACGTTCACTTCACGTCAGTGTTGAGTTCCCAAGTTTTTAGGCCATCTCTCATGGAGAAAACATGTATATTCCTATTTTAATACTTTAGAGCTTTTCCTGTTTGCCAGTACTCAATAGGTCTGCAGTATTGTGCCCTTAAAGGCAGAGACCCATCTGTGCTGGTCATATGCAAGGTACCTGATTCATGGAGCTGTGAGTATAAAATGAAGACAGACGCAAACATTTATGCTGTAAAGAAAGCTATCCATAGAAATTATCAAAACTGCTGCTTTTATAGATAATCTGCCATGAAGGACCAGTTTTTGCCTGCTGTTCATGTGAGCATTCACTAGCTCACACTGAATATCTGAAGTCACTTATGGTCCAGCAAGTAGGAACACGGAAGTAAATTATTATGTTGCTTAAAAATCTGTATTTTTAGCAAGCTGACCTGACATAAGCAAAATGGTATCTTAGGAATCTCTCTGCTTTAAAGGCACTTTGTGTTAGAATCTCTTGCATTTAGCTGACAGGCCATTTTAAGGCTTTAACTTAGAAAAACTAGTCATTGTGGTTGGCTAAAATTTCACTATAACTCCATTAATAAAGGAACAAAATGGAAAAGAAAAAAAATACAATCCTTCTAATATGCCAAACAGGGGAAAAGTACTGATGCAGGCTCTGTCCAACTCCTTCAGGTTTCACATTAGTATTAGATTATTTGATATATAAAAGAAGAAAACATTTATTAGAGCTCCGGGGGATTCTTGAGTTCCCTTCCAGTGCGTGCCTCTGGGCAGACAGGGAGACATCTGAGGCATTTCATACTGCTTTCCCTACTCCAAATAGCCAAACACCTGCTGAAAATAGCAGCCCAGAATTGCTACCAAAAGAGG